TTATGATGTCGCTCTTGCGCGAATATTGAGTAACTAAATTACTTGATTTCTTTTTTTTTTTTTACGTAGTATATGACTGGATAAATATTCTATATATTTTTTAGCCATTTAAATAATAAAAAAAATAATAGATATGATTTAATTTGACGACTGTTTCAACTCTCTATACTTTAGGAGGTTGATCCTAAATTTAAGGGCAAATTAATTTAATTCAACACTTCTAAATTTGGATAAAGTATAATGTTCTTTATCTTATTCGTTTCAAATATAATTTCATAGAGAAATCAATTAAATTTTATTAGAAAATTAAAATTTTTAAGTGAGTACTTACATAAATTCTACAAAAATATAATAAGATTTAAAATTGTCTCAAGAAAATAATGTAAACCATTTTTTTTTAATTTCAGGTTACATATCATTCGCACAAATATTAGATTCGACAATCAGGATAAATTTAATGTATCTAATTGAACTAATTGAAGTCTGCAAGTCTTCTATTGTTTCAGCCATTGATTAAATAATTCTTGCGTGCAACTATTGATACGTTGAATGAGCAATACAATTATGATGCATGTATATTTAGAATATGATGTTCAGAAGATAGGGATAAAATGTAATAAAAATTCGTCAATACATTACTTTCGAGATCAATAAAAAAACTTACCTCATTCTGTAATTTTTAAAACATTATCTTCGTCCATAGCACACTGGAACGGACCGAAATGCACATCATTTTGCTTCATCTTGTTCTACGCTCCGACTTCTTCAAAATTTATTTTCTTGAATGGATGTGGGTGAAAGAAGATGGAGTTATATTTTTCTCCTTGGATGTGAACCGACTAAAATTATGAATGCGACTTGCATCTATCTGTATTTATATTCCCTTAATTTATGTTAAAAAAATAACTTATTAATTATTAAAATCAAACTACATATCTACCCCTAACTACAATTTTATCCGCTGATTAAGATTTTGATCGGACAGTTGAAATTTTTTCAGGATCATCTTGAATATTGTATTCAGGACCATACCCGGATTGTAAGAAAAAATAGAAAAAAAATGGAAAATGATTAGGTATGATTTTTTTTGTTTATTTATGGGTGTGCTTGTTTCAAAGATTTCCATTCATTTTCATTATTCGTCATTTTTTTTTAAAAAAAATCAAATCAAATACTTATTTTTTATATTATACTAAAAATTAATTTTATATTCAAAATATCGACTATTCAAATTCAAAATTTTTACTATTAAATCTCAATCCAAAATTCAAAACCCCCAAACAAACACACCCTTAATTATAGTTAATATTATGTACCCCTCTGTCCGCCTCCAAGGATTACATTTATTTTTACGTTATTATACTTAAAAATATTCTTATATTTGTATAATTTTTTATTTATAAAAATGTAATTCTATTAATTTTATAAGACACGAGAAGTATTTTTGTCATTCTTCCTTAATTTGTATAACATTTTGATATAATAATTAATGTTCAAATATCAATACGAAAAAAATTAAATATAACATTTAGAACAGGATGAAGATAGTATTAACTTTATTATATTTTAAAAATATATATATTTTTGAACCTGCATTTTAAATTGTGTAAGAATATATTGAAATGCATAATTCATTTATATATTTCTTTTTATAATTTGCATATTTTTTATAAATAAAAAAGGTCCCAATACAATTAAAATAATTAATTTTGATCTCTATATAAAATTTTATCAATTTAAGTCTCATTATAAATAATTTTAATCAATATTGATCCAAATATTAAAAAATCAATGAAAAACACTTAAATTGTGTAGGAATATATTGAGATGCATAATTCATTTATATATTTCTTTTATAATTTGTACATTTTTTTTTTATAAATCAAAACAGGTTCGAATACAACTAAAATAATCAATTTTAATCTCAATATAAATTTTATCAATTTAAATCTCATTATAAATAATTTTAATCAATACTGATCTCAATATTAAAAAATCACACTAACTATATTTATCTCTACAGACCAAACACTGCCGTGGGCCGTCTACCATTTTTTTCTTCCTCCATATTCTTCTTTGCAGGCCGTGTACCATTTCTTCTTCTTCATTCATATTCTTCTTTCCAGACTCCTCCCCCGGACAATCCCCCAATTATCTCGTTCGCTGCACCACCATGGACAGCTGCCTTTCCGAATTATCAGTTTCCCCGCCGCCGGAGTACAGCTTTTAAGATTAGGATGACAGCTATGGCAAAGTCAAGTCGGATAATCAACAACCACACCATCGACAATGGAGTACCTGATCGAGTGGAAGGACAATCACTTCCCGACTGTGTCGCCAAAGATGTCGTTGTCGAGTACGAGACCCCCCGGTGGACCGCCGTAAAAAAGGCCGATGACACCTCCCTCAGCCAGATCCTCCAAATCATCAACGGCCCGGCCCGCCGCATTGTTTTTCTTCTCCGATGCGACGCCTCCATTTTACATCCTTGAACCCCAGCTCCGGTTTGTATACCCGACCCACTGGCTCCGATATAGTTTTGGGTTTCTGCTTAGTCGTTGGGTACGGATGGAAATCATAAAAAAATAAAAATTAAAAAATGGAAGAACAATGCTCAGGGAAATTATGGCCGTACACAGTCTGTATTTTTTATTGGTTTTATTAACAGTATAATCAATATTGATTAAAATTATTTATAATAGAATTTAAATTAATAATTGATTATTTTCTTTATAACGTGAGATTATAATTAATTATTTTTAATTATATACATGTTTGATTTTTTTTTTCTCTTATCAACGACAATCTATTAGAAATAGAGGAAATAATAATAATATATTAGTTGATGTATTCAATTTAAAATTTATTTTTTTATTATACAATATATTTTTTAATTATTGATATTTTTTCATATATATATATACATTATTTTTAAGATTATATCATAATATTGAAATTCACATTAGCTTCATATTTGGTGGAATATAACTAAGAGTTTTTTTGTTCTTTATTCTTTTCAATTATTATTATTATTTTTTTTCGAACAAATAATCAATATTAAAATTTGATTTTATATTTGAAAAATTATCACCAATGACATTTTTCATAGTAATAACAAGGAAACAATAAAGTCCTATAAGCATTATTTATTGGGCATTATTCTTTGTATTTTTTGCTACAAGATTGTTTTAAAAAAAAATGTTATTATTTATTGAATTTTATTTTGTCACCATCATTTGATTTGTTTATCTTTCAAGTTTTGATGCTTTTATTTATTAATTTATTATTTTTTTCCCTAAATTTTATTTTCTTTTTCAACAAAAAAAAAAAGTTATAATTATTTTTTTTATTAGTATATTAATTATATCTATAGCATATTTTTGTAAAATGAATTCTAACTATTTTCATATACTATTATTTGCATATATATATAGACAAAATATATTATTATTAAAAGATAATTTATTATTTATAAAAATTAATTTAAATATTGCATTACATGCATAACACGAATTATATGATAGCAATAAAATTGTATGTATAATAATATATTTGTAATTTTATTAGTAGTAGATTAAGAATAATAATATTTTATTAGTGAGTAAAGTGTATAAGAATTTTTTTTTGACATTTTTATCTAAATTAATTGTATATATAACGATATGTTTGTAATTTAAATAAAAATTAAAAGTATTTTAATATTAATTTATAATTATTTTTTCTAAAATATGAAAATCATATTTTGAAGTGAAATAAGCGAAAATATAAAAAAAAAAAAGAAATTTGAGTTCGGCCAAAAAAAAAACAAAAAAACTTGTTAATAATATTTACAGAGAATCATTCAAACTAATAATCATTTCAACAATTTTTACTTTCAAATTTTCAAAGCATTTGTTTGTTTGGTCAAAAAAAAAAATATACTCCCTCCCTCTGTCCTATTGAAAGGTTACCATTTTCCATTTTTCATTTTCGTCCGTCCCAAAACAAGGTTACCATTTCCTAATTTAGTAATTGTACTACTTACTTCACATAATAAATATCCTTTCAACTTACAATATATTACACAAATGTCATTACTTTTATATTACACCATACTAATAGGGATATTTTTGTCTTTTTTACTACAATCAAATATAATATTAATATTAAAAAACCTATGTGAAAAAACAAACGTCACCCTTATTGCCGGACGAAGGGAGTATATATATTTTTAAAAAATTAATATATTATACGTACATTATTCTTTATGTCTCACATAAAAAAAATTCATTTAAATCTTCTCATAAGACAAACGACAAAATTTTTATCTAAATACTGTTCAACTTCTAAAACAACTTTTTCAATCTTAAAAATATTAGGGTAAACTGTTTTTTAGTCCCGTAACTGGACCCCCTTATCATTTTAGTCCCGTAAGTGGAGTCTGTCGCTAACTAGTCCCATAAGTGAAAATTTTTAGCTGTTTTAGTCCTCCAGCGCTGGAGACACCCGCGTGGCTCGCCGGAGGTGCGTGTCCGCCAGGTCAGCGCCAGGTGGCACTGGCCTGGCGGACATGTGGATTTTTTAATTTTTTAATTTTTTTTAAAATTTTTTTAAAACTTATTTTTAATTTATTTTTAATTTTATTTATATATTTTTAATTTTTTAATTTGATTTAATTTTAAAAAAATTAAAAAAAATTGAAAAAAATAAATAAATCCACGTGTCCGCCAGGTGTCGCTGACCTGGCGGGACACCTGGCGGACACGTCACCTCCGGCAAGCCACGCGGGCGTCTCCGGCGCCGGAGGACTAAAACAGTAAAAATTTTTTACTTATGGGACTAGTTTGCGACAGGCTCCACTTACGGGACTAAAATGATAAGGGGGTCCAGTTAGGGACTAAAATAACAGTTTACCCAAGATATTAAATTCAAATCTTTCAAACTTTCTGCCCAAGAGTGGTTGCAATGGACGGATGAGAGCGAAAAGACTCACAATGGTCTTTTTCATAGGTCTATGGCGTGCGTTTAGTTTAAATTAAATAAAACCAAAATTCCTCCTACTTTTCTCATCACCAAACCTTCTCCAGCAAGTCCTAGGGCTCCTCGCACGTCGTCGGCATCGGAGATGGCGACACAGGATTGGCCGCGCATCTTAATTTCAGGTTAGTGATATGGTGTTTCCTTCGCTTCCCTAAATAATTCTCCCATTCTCTTGAACTTTCCAATTTTCTGGACATAATCCTCGTGTCAAATAATTACGAATTTGGTTCATCATTCTGGCATTTTCTCATTCTTCATTTAGCGTATGTCTGTAATAACACTTTTGTGGAAGGATTTTAGTGCATATCTTTGCATATATACCTTAGTTTATGTAATCCCATTTTTTCATTCTTAATTTATAATTAATTTTATTATACAATAATTAGTTTTACTAATATATTTTTTTTAATTATTTAGTAATTATATTTGACTTAAATTCAGGTATTTACAGTAAAGTAAACACTTTACCTGGGATCGGAGAGAGTAATAAATAAATTAATATTTAATATAATAAATACACATTAGAATATTTTTTAAAATTTTTTTATACCATTTTAAATATAAATTCTCATCATTTTCAATAAAATTTCTCACAAAATATCAAAATAATAAAAATAAATATTTTACTAAATTTTATAATTCATAATAATTAATAAAAAAAATTTTCAAAAATTCTACACACACCACCGATACAAAAGCAACTAAAAAGTTTAAAAGAAAAATATACAATGTCCTTGTTTATTTTTTGATATATAAATACTCATTCCGTTGTGTTTGGCACAAAATTTTAGTGTAAAAAGTAGTGAAAATTGTTTAATAATAATAAAAAATATTATAGTAATACAATTATTTTTATAAAAATAAGACTATTGTTTTAAAATAAAAAAAAATAGTAAACAAGATTTATATGGCAAGGGAGGAACAGTAAATATCAAACAGTTATTTTATTGAACATCTGACATAATATAGAATTAATTAAAATTTAACAAGTAATTGAATCAACTAAAAACTATTTGGCTAAACAATTCATATATGAAAGGAGTTTTTTTTTAAAACCGAACGGACTCCAGACCCGGACCCGACTCCGAAAATCCGATTCTGAATCCGCCGGTCCGTTCGCAATGCAATATTCTGTATATTTATTTTGATTTTAGGAGTAGAAATGATTGTGTGCTATAAAAGATTCTCTTTCTCTCTCTTACGTTGTTTTTAAGGCGAAAACTATTACTGCATCGCAGAACTGCAAGGACCCCCCTCTCTCCCTCTTCTCTCTCCCACCGAAAAACTCAAGCCGAGTAATGTGACCATAAAAAACCCTAAGAGAAATACTAGAGCAACCGTGGTCCTGTGATTTGATGCATTCTCCTTTGTAAGCTGCAGTTTATCCACTGGAGACGGTGAGAATTCAGTGCTGTTATGTATAGTGTGCTTTCCTGCTTTGGTTGTCGTTGTTGTTGTTGTTATTATGGCTTCTGTTTGATTATATAATCTTCATTTGGATTTGGCGTCGATTTTGTGTCTTGGTGCCAAGAAGATGTATAAGAACCAGTTACAAGAGCTAGCGCAGCGGAGCTGCTTCAATCTGCCGTCGTATACGTGCATCAGGGAAGGTCCCGATCACGCGCCGCGGTTCAAGGCGGCCGTCAACTTCAACGGGGAGACGTTTGAATGCCCTAGCTACTGCACCACTCTCCGCCAGGCGGAGCATTCCGCCGCTGAAGTAGCGCTCAATGCTCTCTCTGGCCGCGGTCCTTCCAACTCACTTGCAGCTAGAATTCTGGTAATTCTTTTCGGTTTTGATTTGTTTGGTTTTAAATTCGTTCTTCGCATTCCTCTTTGTTTGATGGTTGTTCGTTTGCTGTTGTGTGATTGTGGTCGATTGTGCAAAGTTTATTCCTGCTCAGATGAAAAGGAAAAGAGTAGATAATGGCGGACATGTGGTGCGTTCTGTCTTTCTTGTTGTTATACTGAGTAGTTCCATTGTGGTTTTAGTGTTTCGTATGTTAATGGAATTAAGAGAAAAGTGGAACAATCAGTGCAAAATTGAAAATATTCTAATTCTTTTATATGCTTTTTAGATGAATCTGAGGTTCATTTTGGCGTTATTGGCGAAATGCTGCAAGTATTGTGTTTCTTGTTGTCTGGGAATTGCTCATATAAATTGGCGTTTGTCTCTGCCATTTCGTCGCAACTTGACGTCATATCTTTTGAGTTTATTCATTATGTTGGATATATGGCATTTGATTTATGATTTTACCTTTTGCATAACCAATCTTGTTTGGTAATACTTGCCTAACATTTTTTATTTTACTGTGTGCTATGAAGATGGATTTTGCAGAATCATGAATTCCTTGTTTTTAACAGTGCTGTTATCATTTTAGTAAGTCGCGTGTTGTTTGCCAGGCATATACGTTACCATTGCCAGCTTAGAATCTGATCCCAACATTTAATTCGGAAAGAAATGAAGCTATCTCAGACTAGGAATTTCAAAATCTGTTGGCGGTATTTTTTTTGTTGGCTATTTTTGGCACGCTGTTTTCATATTTTACATCCTACGGTTTGTTTATTTGGATGCAAAACTTGGTTTTACCCGCTGTTTTAAGCAGTGGGCCCTATGCTGAAAAGGATCCATTGTCATTACAGCTAGGACCAACCACAAGCTTTGAACGTCGTAATTACAGATATGGCATGGCCAATCGTTGAACTGTCATGATTAAATATAGAATAAGACTCGAGCGTTGAACGGTCATGATTAAAGATAGAATAAAACTTGTGTCATAGAAGGAATAATTTAATTAATTCGGTCTCTTCATTTTCATGTCTGTGAGATTGTTCTAGATGAGTAGCGTTGAACGCCTGAACAGTCCTAATTACAGATAGGATAAAGCTTGTGTCATAGAAGGAATATATAATTAATTCGGTTTCTTCATTTTTATGTCTGCGAGATTGTTCTAGATGAGTAAAGATTTAGTATGATTATATGTGACATCCAGCAGAATGAAAATTTGTTTTCCTTTGCCTATTTATTTCTGAAGTGGGCCTTATGCTGCAAAGGGCCTGTTATGTTTACAGATAGGGGCAGCGTCGATCTCTGAATTGTTATGATTTCTGAAAGGACCGAAGACGAGCTTCGGAAAGTCATGACTACAGTTAGGATAGAACTTGAGCTTTGGAAGGTCATAATTACGGATGCATTGAAAGATAATGAATAATTTGATTAACCCAGCCTGCTTGTTTTCACATTTTTCTAATTTGTTCGGGATTCATAGAGCTTGATTAGGACCAAATGCGATTTTAAGTGGGATAGCAAAATGATAAAATGAGCTTGTTTGCACATTTTTCTAATTTTCATCTCATTAAAAGATAATATGAGATGAAAATGCATAACCTTGGTCCACTTTTACTCGTTCCAACACAGCAAGTGTTTTTTAGTTAAATTTTCAAAGGTTTTATGGTGCTCGGTTGTGCGTTACACTTCATTAAGTGAGAACTCTGGAACTCTATTAAGATAGAAATGCTTGTTTATCATTCAGAGCTTTGTCATTTCCTGAAGAGAAAATTGAGTATTAAAATAGAGTTCCTATTTTGAGGGTTAAATTGTGTTAAATTAGCAGGACACCCAATTTATAACAATGGATATTGCCTTGAATTGTGTATAGTTTAACATGTTTGATAGGTCCTAGAACCTTGTATCTGAATTCTAATCTCTACTTTAGCAAATCAGACAGCCAACATTTTCTTATCAATTTTTATACTTGCATCAAGGGTTCCTATTTTCAATTTGACTGCTCTGCTGATACTTATTTTACTTGACTTGACAATGCAGGACGAGACGGGGGTATATAAGAATCTACTGCAGGAGGTTTCTCAAAGAGTCGGTGCATGTTTGCCGAAATATTCAACTTTCAGAAGTGGTCTTGGACACCTTCTAGTTTTCACCTGTACTGTAGAATTGGCAGGGGTTATATTTACTGGCGATCCAGCTAAGAACAGGAAGCAAGCAGAAAAGAATGCTGCCATGACAGCTTGGTTCTCTCTCAAATCATGTAAGTACCCTATATTATACTATACATACATATATGTATATATATGTACATATGCCCTTGATGCCGTATTTGTTTGTTCAATCGTGTTCTATAGTGTGCAAGGCTTTACTGATGAATTGGCATAGCTATGGTTTCTTTTGAGTGCTACTGCACTTTGTTATGCTTAGAAAAGAATATTTACAATAAATAGCAAACACACAATTTAATATTTTGATTTTGCCGATCTTGATTCTTGAAGTGTTTAGTACCTTGAAATTGCTTTACAATTTTATAGTTTCTCATTTTTAAAGCTATAACAGAAGTTTACAATATTTGTTGCATCTTAGTTTTTGCTACAATGCTTGAACTACACATTTTGATCACCCCTAAATCTTATCCATAATGATCGTATCCAAAGTATACGCCTTAATGCTTTTATTGAACATAGTAATGCAACCATAGGCCTCATTACCATCAAATGTAAACTGTGAAAAGATCTAACTGAAACTACTCTGTCGAATCAAAATGTTATAAATGCTTTGGTATGTGTCATTTTCCACCTTACCAAAACATTCTCACTTGATATGTTTTCTTCTACTTCTTTTGCAGTACTGCAGAAATCCGAAACATTCCATGAAAAGAACCACAAGGATGAGCTAGAGCACGTCACTGTAGCTCATGCTCTGCAGCAGTATCTGGTAAAAGCAAGAACTGCGAAGGTGCCTTTTCCAATCAAATTCCCGACAGTAAGTCCAAAGCTGGCAAGCACATTTCCATCCCCGCCTGCAACCTTGAAACTTCTTCCATTGATTTGCCCAAGGACAGGCCAACAAAACAGACCAACTGCACCATTGAGCAACACCTCAACATTCCAAAAATATGTTCGAACAAAGCAAAGCGAGCTGGAAACCGCAGTTTCAAATGAGAGCCTTTCAATGGTGATGGAGAACCTTAGACACCGACTAGCGCAGAAGTTCCCTGCCGCAGAAGCAGCACCCTACATTCCATTCCGGCATTGCAACCCTCGCCGAAGAATCGCCCCACCAGTAACGATCCGCACCACAGTTCCTGTATTCTCTCCACCGCCGGCGCTTCCGTCTCCCCAACCGTCATTAGCTCTGAGACCTCCAGCATTGGGTATTGCGCCACCTATCTCTGTAAAACAAGCTGTTCCTGCATATGCTAGCACACATGTCCCGTTCGAGAAGCTACCCCTGGTACAACCACCATCTATACAGGATGATACTCACCTTTTCAGATCTACAATGGCTAGAGCAGAGCAGCCACCGATGTTTCGAACTCTGTCAGGTAGACTAGAAGATTCGCGTGTCTCCAGGCTTCCAGTGTTTCAAGTCGAGGAGCCTCGTAGCTGTAAGTTATCGCCTGCCGCTATGGTGCAGTATTCGGAACACACCTTACCTCCATCTGAGATATTCACAGCTCCAGTCGAGCCTTGGGTTTCAAATATTACCCCTGCCAATTCAAAGCCGGCTTGTGGTGAGGTATTGTCGACTATAAATGCTGTGCAGGACAAGCTGCAGGAGCTGAAGATCCAAAAGAAGTGAAGATATAATCGGAGGGAATTGAAAATTCGCAAGAAAACAGCGCAGTAAGCTTCTTTTGATATGACATAAGTAGGTTTTTGTTTTCTTCAATTCTTCTTGCTTTTTAAGTTAGTTCTGCTCTTGTCTTTGGGATGATTTGACAATCTTGAAGGGTTAAAACTTCTCAATATTTTCCAGTGCGAGTTTTTTGCTTTTATCTTATGCTTTTATATGATTTTGAAATACATGTTCTGTGGTTATGGCGGCTGTGTGTATACATATAGAGTTATATATATAGGCAAAATACCATAACATCCATCTATGATTTATGAAAGTTGCGTGAAATATCTCATTATTTTAAAATTGCGTTCTCTTTTATTGTTTGAGAAACTTTGTCCCCATTTTGTCATTAGTTAATGGTAGTTGTTTTGCACGCCCGCTAACTGCGAAAGTAATTAAGAAATTTCATGACTGTTAACTAACGGAATGGGGTTTAAATGTAGGATTGCAGGCCAGGGATTCTAACCGTTTTCGTCATACTCTGGTTTTTTGGTTTGTAGGATTACTATTACTACAGAAAGAGTGGTCAAACTCAAATCCTGACATTTGGCGACTGGGAAAATGCCAACAGCCTCCCCATAACTCAGTGCTTCGAGTGCGGCAGGCAGCCAGGCCGGGCGGCCTCCTCGCTGCAGCTGCTCCTCCAGAGAATGCTCAAACAATAATAACGCCGCCGATCTCTATGGCGTTGGTTTTGGATACGGATTTGGATTTGAGAAACCTCTCCCTCCTGTCTCAGTCCCACGCCGGAATTTATGCTGCTGCACCTGTTCCTCACAAAAAGGTGAGATCATCACCATCACCATCATCATCATCATCCCTTTTTCTTGGGATGTGCAGAACCCAACAACTGTGTTTAATTTTGTTTGTTCAATCTCCAGCTAATTGATGAATTGAAGTCAGTCAAGATAGTTTCCAACTGTTTCTTGTCCGAATCTGGTTGTTTGCTTGCTAATTATGTCTCTGTTTTGCTCCATTCTTTGCCCACAATTTTGAATAGAATAGAACAAATTTTACCTTTTGATTTATATGAATGAATGTTTCTGCTTTTTTACGATTATGTTTTGTTTTGTATGTTATGATATGATTGATAGATCTTTCATTCAATATGGTTAATTACGTTTTAATTAGTTTGTGCACATTCTTTGCAATTTTAAAGTCATTATTTCTTTTGCTAATGCTTTGATACAGATGTCACGTTATGCCAAAGTCATAAAGAACATCGTCAATAAAAGGTGTACTAGTTCTAAAGTGGATGTAGCAGTTCAGCCGAAGAGTGTCTGTAGCCTCATATTCCACGGAGAGCGATATTGAGAGTTTTATTATTATATGTACTATAAAAAATTTGAAACCAATTAGGATATTATGTGATTTAGGAGCTAATATCAATCTTATATTTTTTTTGTTTTTCAGTAAATTAGGGCTATATGAGTTCGAATCCTGCCGCATTGTAATTCAACTTGCAGATAAATCAAATAAGACTTTCGAAAGAGATTATTCACGACGTATTTGTACAATTGAACAAATTTAATGGAAATGACCAAGAGTTGCAAATTTTCATACAATTTTGGAAAGATTTTTTTTTTGCCATCGCTTAAACTAATATTAATGTTGCCTTTGGGCGAGGGCGGCAATTACACTAAATATTTGTTGAGAGGCAATTACATTTTTCATAAAAAAAAGATAAAAATATTAAACTAACTATAGGATGAAAATGATAATTATATTCATAAATTGAAAATATTTTAACATTGGAATTTATTAAGAAAAATTTTAGATAAAGACTCACTTAAACTAGAGCTCCATGAGCTAAACGGTGATTAAACCAGACACATGAGCTAAGCTGTAACCAAAGCAGACACACTGAGTCCATAAAGCAAGCCCCAATAGAGAGCCAAATAGTGAGTCTACACTTAAACTGAGCTGAAGAAGCTACTTGATCACCTGAAATATATTTTTTGAGGTTGAATGAGACTTATCTGTTGATAATCTCCGCTCATATGTTGCTAGACCAGAAAGCGCAGCTTCTAGCTCTTCTTAATAAAAGAAAGACTGTGTTTGCATGAAAAATCTCAGATATAAAAAGGATCAGCCTAACGGTGTCCATGCACCATATTATTCTGGAAGCTGAAACTAAGTCATGCAAACAACTTCAATGACACCATAATACAAATATGCAATAGGTAGTTAAAAAGAATATGATTAAACTGTTTAATGCAGGTATAATCCATCCTATCAGTTACGCGAGTGGGTCAGCCCGACCCAGGTGATCCCCAAAAAATGAGGATTCATTGAAAAAATTGATAAACAAAAGAGATCTTTATGACAAAACCAATCACTGAATTGAGAGTATGTATAGGTTACATAAAGCTAAATGCTAGAACAATCATTTTCCGTTGTCATTCTTTGATCGATGCCTTGAGAAGTTAGCCGACCATGAGTACTACTGCTTTCTGGATGGCTATAGGCTACCATTAGATTCCTATTAAGCCTAAGGACTATGAGAAAACTATTTTTACTTGTCCATATGATACTATTGCTTACAAGATGATGTTTTTAAGTCTCATGGTTCCCATGTAAAAGGGCATTTCATTGGTCAACAAACAACGATCAAACTTTTGTAGTCTAGATTTTATTGGTCAACCCTGCAGAAAGATGTTGATGCATTTTCCAAAGATTGCAAAAAATGTCAAAGATTGAGATCTATTTCGAAGTGAGATAAGATGCCTCAAAGAGAAGTTCTGATTGTTGACATATTTAATATTTTGGTAATCAACTTTGTGGGACCATTTCCGAACTTCTTTAGAAAAATTCTATATTTTAGTTGTTGAGGATTATGTGAGCAAGTGGGTGGAAGCGCAAACGCTCCCTACTAATGATACTCATAATGGGACCTGTTTCCTGAAGCACACATTATTCTCAAGGTTTGAAGTTCCCAAGACTTTAATCAGTAATGAGGGCACCAAGAATAAGGCACTGCAAGTATGATGTTTGCTAGCATCTAAATCTTTCTTTTCATCGTTAAGTAAGCAGTCAATTGAAAGTTCCTAACAAAGAGATCAAACACATTCTTCAGATCAAAGTCAACAGGAGTCGTAAAAACTGGGCTGACAAGCTAGATGAAGCTCTTTGGCCATACAAGATAGTCTTCAAGATGCCAATAGGGATGTTTTCATACAAATTAGTTTATGGAAAAGCCTGCTATCTACCATTAAACTCAAACATTAGCGCTTACTGGGCCATTAAAATTTTGAATTTTGATTTACTGCCAACCCAGGAGAAATGCACCGCTCGTCTACTTGACTTAGCCGAGTTTCGCTACCTTGTATATGTGTGACACCCTGGCCCACAAGCCACACAAAGTTGGACGTGTCAGGATTAGACTGGCTTCATAGGTCAACGTGAGTCCTTTAAGCGATCTTTGTCCTTATTTATGCGCACCTTAGGAGACTTCTTAGGGGGTTACCCATCCTAAAATCACACTTCCCAGAGGGTCACCCATCCTTCATAGGGTAATTTGAGGAAGGGTGACCTTTGGGAAATGTAATTTGAGGATGAGTGATTCCCTGGGAAGTCTCCAAGGGTGTGCGTAAATGAGGACAAAGCTCGCTAGAAAGACTCTGTTGACCTGAGGGGCCAGTCTAATCCCGACACGCTCAGTTTTGCGTAACTTGCGAGTTGGGGTGTCATAGTTGGTATCAGAGCCGACCTGCGACTGCCCATAGTCATTGACCGGGCTGTTAAGAGGCCTAACAATTAATAGATCCTTGGGGTGCAACATGGACATTGCATTCTTAAGTCGGGAATGATGTAATATCCCCGGAGTTGAATAGTGATATGAGTCGAGGATGATGTGATACCCCCAAGGTTGAATAGAGGTTAAATTGATTGAATATACTACTCATGTCAACAATGTACACATTTTTTTTGGGAGCCCGCTGAAAGAACTTTCGAGTTAAGTAAGTTTGTATTAGAGTAATTTGAGAATTGATGACTCTCTGGGAAATCTCTCAGTACGCGTGAATGAGGACAAAGCACGCTGGAAAAACTCCTGTTGACTTGTGGAGAAATTGAAATCAAGGTGGACTGGGCTTTATATAGTCAGATAAATTCTGCCAAGTGGAGCTATAAGAATCAGTGATGAAAAAAACACCTTCCTAGTCAATAGAGCAAGACTAAAACCTTATATTGAATCACATGTACTGAAAATTGCCAAAGTAGATGTAAATCTGATTGAAATTTAACCGCTTGCTCCATAATCAAAGTGAAAACCTAGACTCAGACTTTTTTAATTTAATTTTACCGCTTCCCTAGTATAACTTACATATTTCTTAGTATAGAATGCCACTTTCATAGATAGAGTAGATATAATTACAATTTTTCATAGTTAGAACCACCACAAGTGATTGATGGCTTTATCGTTTTCATAGTTTAGCTAGTTCTTTAGAATTAGATAAAAGTCAAACTGCCAAACGGGCACCTTATCGCTTTTATAGAGTTAGTCTACTTAGGTAGCTAGATTTATTTATTGGGTAAACTGTTTTTAGTAACTATACTATCTATCTAACATTACAAATACCCTTCTAATTTACAATATATTACACAAATGTCATTATCTTTATATAATAAAATACTAATAAAGGTACTTTAGTCTTTTTACTTTTAGTTCTACTACATTTCAATATAATATTAATATTTTTAAAACTCCATGCAAAATGTAAATTGATAGATAGATATAGGACATAGGGAGTATTAGCTTTGTTTAGATAGAGATTTTTGAACGTTTTTTAAATTTTGGAAGTTTGAAAAAAAAGTTAGTATTTGATTTGATGTTTTGTGAGAGAAAAAATGTATTTGATATGATATTTTTTAAAAAATAAATAGTATCAAATGAGTAAAAGTGTGTTGTGTAAACAAAGCTATTTTTTATTATTAAAAATGAATAATGTCAAATGAGTGAATGTGTCGTTCCAATTCAAAGTACATTTATTATTATTATTATTATTTTTATTTTTATTTTTTACATTCAAAAGTATTTTTTATTCCTATTTTAATATAAATAATTATACACCAATACCAAAATACTCTTTAATTTTTATGTAAATTATAAACATACTATTACACCTAGAGCTAATTTATACGTAAAGGGCAAAAATATCAATTTTTTTTACATATTTTACTAACTAATAAAATATGAGTATTATTTTTAAGGGTAAATTATATAATACCCCCTCGTGTTTTAGTGAAAATGCACAAAACACCATGTGTTTTATTTATTGCGTAAAACTCTTTTGTATTAATGTAAAATTTGCACAGAACACTTTCTTCATTCAAAACTGATATTTGATTGTAAATATGAATCCAACTATGAAATGTTTATACAAATAAAAGAGGCAGATCATTTTTTAATATAATAAATAAGTAAATAATCGATTAATTCTTCATTTTATAGTTTTTTTGGAGATAAATTGTTATTGATTTTTACAAAAATTATAAAAATAAAGATTTGATAAATTATTTATTTATTTATTTTATTCTAAAAAGACCATTTAAGATATGTTACCTCTTTTATTGTATAAAACTTGCATACTTAAAGTCTATATTTACAAACAAGCATCAGTTTTGGACAAAGAGAGTATTATATGCAAATTTTACATTTAACAGTTTTACACAATAAATAAAACACATGATATTTTATACATTTTTTTATTAAAATACAAGATGGTGTTATATAATTATCCTATTTTTTAATCTACTACAAAATCCTTAAAAAATATTTTGAAATGAAATAGAGGGAGTATTGTTATATATATATATATATATATAACTATAGAATAATTATTTCCCGTGTGTTCAATTTTTTTAATATCATTTTCAGGTAGTAATAATTTATAAATTATAAATATGTTCACTCAACTTATTGTTTCGACACGATTTTATATTAATATTATTAAAAAATACAATATATACATATATTCATATAAAATATATAATATTTATTCACAAAGTCTATAATTTAATACAAAATATATTTTTTTATATA